ATATTAAAAAATTATGAATTTAATTATTCCTTATACTGATATTTTATTATGTTTTTCATACTCTTTCGTTTTTAAAATAAAAGATATGTTTGGATTTCGAAGAAAAAAAAGAAAAAAATAAGTTAATGTATAATGTTAAAATATGAAAGTTGAAAATATTTCTAATCATATTTATTAAATTATATTAATCAAGATATTTTCTTTTTCTTTGAAAATGGTTCAGCGTATTTCCGTTTATCGATATTCTTTCTTTTCTCAATCCTTTCCATTGTCGTAGATTGCTTGCTGATGTCAGGCATACTCTCAATGTTATTTGTTGTAATAATTTTTGATTCCGTTACATCTTCCTTTAGAAATTGTTCACAATTTTCAGGTGCTTGATACCTAACAAAATATAATTTTATATATGTATTTTTTATACACACAATTCTTATAAAAAGTAAGTAGATTTTCTAAAAGATATAAATTTAATTATTTAATTATAACATATTAGCAATATATGTTAAAGATAAAAATATTCTAGATGATATTTTCGATTTTTATTTATACATGTAAAAAAAGGATAGGTTTTAGTATTAATAAAAATATTTTATAAAATTGAACTTTCTCACGTTTCATTAGTTTATGATTTATGAACATCAAAAACATATGATAAATATAAGAATTTAATTTAAAGTGTCCTCGAATCATAAAAAATAGACGATCAGATGTTTAGACAAAATTGTAATATTATGTAATTTTTTAATGTTATGAAACAGGAAGATCATATAAGGCTAACTAAATCTTACCCAAGTTCAGTTGTATCCTTAATATCTTTAGACAATAAAATATGGATTTCCGGTACACGATGAATCTCAGCTGTTGTATCCTTTCCTGATTTTTCCGAGCTGAAAAATAAAGATTGAATTAAAGCTGCATCCATTGATAATTATTTTGGTAAACTTACCGGACGTTACGTAACTTTGTGATTTGATGAAGGCCTTTGTGTTTTCTCTTGAAAATTTCTGCGCAAGAAATAGTTTTCGCAATGCTATGTTCGATTCCGGTCCAGACGATGCTGTTGTAACTAGGAAACTCCTTCAGCGCATAGCCAAGTACATTTCTAATCTTGGTACCACTCTTCACCTTTTATACATATAGATACATATGTATAGATACATTTCATGAATAAAATCAAACAATATCCTTTAATTTTAAAAGATTTCGAGAACTTACATGCATCCAGAGAAATTTTTCTGGTAAATTATTTATTGGCACTTTCTGTGTATCTGTGGATTTTTCTGTTGATATAGTTTCTTTAACTTTTTGCTGTAGCTGCAGCTTCTTCTTCAATTTTGATCTTCCCATCTAAAATTTACATAAAAGTCATTTTTAATATAATTTTGTTAGATATTATATTTTCTTATTGAAGACTTTACAAAAATTGAAGATTCTAATTTTCGTATAATATAATGCAGAATTAAGTTTAAAAATAAAGTATTACGAATTTTTGAATTATATTCATGAATTTTAGATTTACATAAAAATTTAATATCAATAGGTTTTATTTTAAAAAGCTTTTAAGCATATTGTATTAATTAAATATCAATAAAAAGTTATGGAAATATCATTTATTTAGATATTCGCCAAGAGAAGATTCGTTATGGACGAAAAAATTTTTTATATTTTATTTAAAATTATTATTTAAAAATTACGATGACATAATAACAAAGTGCATCATTGCGACTTAAAATAGATTTTAGTCCTATGAAGGCGGGATCTTCTTTTTGTAAATAAGGTCAATATAATGTTAGAGGGTGTAATTTCAGAAATAGTTGGGCTGTTCTGGAAATCGAAGCGATCTGCGGCGTTGTTTAGACGCCACGTCTCTCTCTGCCAGTAGGTCATGGGTTCAGTCACAAGCACCGCCGTTTCGTTGGCGTGCCATTCGATGGAACCATTCATGGAACTTGGAACGACCTTGTACAGTCGTACGCAGAAATATTTCGTCGATTGTGACGTTTATCTGGAGCTTCCACACACATAAAGGTAGATACAGATCGGAGAATGTTCGAAGACGAAACATATTTCGTAAATATTTTATATAATCATTTATATTTAATTTTGATTGAAAAGAATAATTATATAACATAATCCAATATCGACAAAACAATACAGTTATCCAATATAATTATTGGATTATTATATATAAATAATATATAAATAATATATATAATACATATATATAGCAGAAATATTTATTAATGTAACATTAAAATTTATTATAAAATTGTTGCTTGTTTATGAAAATTATATATTTTTAATATTAAACCAAGTAAAAAGGTGATAAATAAAACTTAAATGTGTTTTCTATCCATTTGACATTTAAGAGAGATGTTCTCCAAGCGAAAATTGCACGAAGTTAATGACATTCATATTTTATAATGTAAATAGTAAACAATGATATTTTATATAATGTAAATCAGGTAACATTATTTTAATATAAAAATAAAAACAATTTAAAATTATAAAATAATGTATAAAATAATGTGTCGATTCAAAACTTTTTTAATACATAAGAATTAAAAATATGTTTGAATTCAATGTTATAAACTATTATTATTATTATTACGTTCATCATCAGCACAACGATATCAGTAAGAGAAAATTAAAGTTTCTCTTTTAGTACAATTATTCAAAGTGGCATTAATTTCTTAGCAGCTGTATCAGATCCCTCGTTGATATTACTTTACTTCGTCTTCTCATTACTTCAATATTGCTTGGACACGAGCCGTACTAATTAATATCGAAGGTATTACCAGAATGGTATCCCTCGAAAGTCTCAGCTTCAAGATATGTACACACACACACA